ACTGTATCTATAGATCTAATGTACACAGCAAAGATTATAGTTAATAATGTATATACACATAATATACACATATATATGTTACACACACACACACACACACACACACATACATATACATATACACACACTGGTAATTTGCCAAGAAAGCAAGATTTTAGGCATTCTTACTATCATCAAGAAAAAAAATAAGGTATGAAGTCATGGGTATATTAATTCGCTTGACTATAGTAATCACTTCAGTATGTAAATGCATATCAAGGTAAGCATATCAAAACAGCATGTTACACATCTTAAGTATATACAGTAAAAGAAAAGGAAAAAAAGGGCAATATCTCCATAGTATTCACTTACTATTACAAAGAGTGCTCTTTGTAGAACATTCTTTGCCCATAAATTTTGGCACCTCTTGGCATCTGTCCTCAGGATACATTTCCAGAAGTAGAATTGCCGCATCATGACACACGTGTGCCTATGTAAGATGTCCCTGAAATGCTGCCTGGCTTCCCACGCCCATTTGTCTGTGTGGAACTGCTGCCTCCGTGGGTGCTTGCTAAAATTGGGTGCCCCATTTTTCTTGAGTCTGTAAATCTCTAAGCGGAAAAAAAAAAATCTTGTTTTAATTACCAGTAATCATGGTTATTGACCATTCGATCACTTTCTTATGATTAAGATCTTATTGCCTGCAAGATATTTTTTTGCCTGTCATATGTTGGAAGAATCTTTTTGCCAATTTTTAATTTGCTTTCTAATACTATACATGATTTCTCTTGATGTTTTTAAAAAGGTTAAAACTCTTAACCAATTTTTTTCCTGAATGTTTCTGCCTTTATTTTTGTGTTTGTAAGGGTCAGGCCCCCAAAACAAGTAGAAATTCACTTTATCCCCCTGCTCCAGTTCTTTATGATTTTTTGCATCTAAGTTTTCAAATCATCTAAGATTTATTTTGATAAATAGTAGGAATCTCACTTTAAAAAAAATCTTTTTATACGCTTGTTCTACCATCATATACCGAATAGCTCATTCTTTCCTCACTAATTTAAAATGCTAGCTGTGTTTCTTGTTAAAATCTCATATGTTATCAAACTTATTTATGAGCTTTCTACCTTATTCCATTAATCTGTTATCTTGCGCTAACACCAATCTGTTGTGCTACATTTCTGTATCTAACAGTATAAAGCCTACTGTCCATATTCTTCCCTTTCAGTGTGTTTTTGGCTATTTTTCACCACTTTATTTTTCTCCATTAGAATCAGAAAACTTACTCTGAAAAGGGCCAGATAGTAAATATTTTAGGTTCCACAGGCTTTAGTGATTTCACTGGGGTTCAACACTGTCCTTGTAGTGCAAAGCAGTCGCAGACAGTAGTACATTAGGCTGTATTCTAATGGTTTTGTTTACAAAATAGGCTGGGAGCTGATTGGTCCTGAGGGCCACAGTTTGCCCATCTCTGCTTTACATGCATTTTAAAATCTTTTTGTCAAGTACTCCATCCTCTTACCACTCTCTCAAACACATAAAGTATATATGTACGTGTGTATGTATACACATGCATGTACTTTTTGTGTATAGGTGTATATATATTGCATGTTATGTAATACATATGGAAAGAAGAAGAATTTGATTAGAGTGACTTCATACTTATGAAACGATTTGAGACAAACATGATATCATCTTCCCATTAGGAAGGATCAAGGGTTATTTTATGTCAAGCATCAAAGTTTTATGGTTTCCTTCCTACGGGTGCTGCTAATGTCTGGTTCACTTCAGTCCTTGCAATATTTTTCATTCTAGTTGCTGCAGTGAGTGGGTCTATGTCAGGAGCCCCCCGACTCCCTGCCTGTTCTGATTCACTGGAAGAGTCACAGGACTGAGCTTATAGCCCTTCAGCCAAGGGAAAGGCTCCCCAGGGGAGACTGGAGGAGGCACCCACAGGTTCTGTCTTCTCTCCCACAAGGAGGCTTCACCTAGAATGTGTTCTTGCCTTCAGCATCGAATACAGCAACGCGTGATTCAACCTAGATTTTAATAAACTTTTGTCTCCACTTTTAGCTTTCATTTCACTTCTAGAAGCTTAGTGTTTTCAGCTGTACAGAATTCTTTCTGGCACTGGCAGAAGGTGATGGAATGAGGGGTAGCTCCAGCAGGCTCTGCACTCACCAGCCTTGATTGCTGCGACAGACCCAGAATGAAGCCCCCTCGGTCAATGCCTTGGGAATAGTCTCTTCTTGCCTATTTATTTATTTATTTATTTATTTATTTATTTATTTATTTATTTATTTAGGTAACTCTTTCCTGTAGTGACTCATCAGGAATGGTTATCTCACTCAGATTATTTAAGTATGAGAAACTCCTTAACTGTACCATGAAGGTGAAAATCCTGGGACACCTACTTACTAAAAATAGAAAATTCAAGCCATTCTTTTTCTTTTTTTTCCTTCCAATGCTAAAAGGCATATGTATGCACATGGGACAGAGAGATTACCCCCCAACAGAGTCTGGTCACACCAAAATCCTTTTCCTCCAATTTTCCACCCATCAGAATCCTGGGCATATATGTTCAGACACCCAATGTGTTTTTCAAGCTACCAGTGATGGGACTCAGATCTGTTTTGCCATGTGGAATACAGCTCCCTTTTTGTGTGTTTAATGGCTGGGTCAAACCATTCTTAGATAGGCTTAACTCTACTTGTTGGAGAAGACTGGTTGTCTTTATACCTTGACCTGCTTTTACCAGAAAGGCTAAAGGAAATAAAGCCACTGTGTAGCTGGTTTACAGACAGCTTCCTCCACCCACTTTGTTCACTAGGAGTGCCTACCTGACACTCATGGGATTTTATAACCTTCATCTCTCTGCCCCGAGGGCCTTCTCCCAATTACCTATTTGTGTGTGCATGGTGTTTTTAGACAGGGTCTCACTATCATGATCCTCCTGTCTCAGTCTCCAGAGTAGGTGGGAATGCAGGTGCAGGTGCACTTGGCTTTTCCAGAGCACTGGAACCCAACTCAAGCCTCCCATGTGGCCTCTGTCTGCCGGGGATCAGTGCACAACACACACTTCTAGGGCTGGCTCTCAGCTACCTATTTTTTTTTTTCCAGATTTTGAGCCTCCCAGAGGCTAAGCGGCAACAGGAATTCTGTTTCTTAACCTAAAATTCCTCCAATAAATGGCAAGGCCTAGCATTCTAAGAATGAGACATATAAAAATGGGAACAGTGTGAGTTAAATTCTGTGATTAAATTACATAAGATCTATGATTTAAATTACCTGCATACTAACCTCCTTTCCAAACTGTTTAGCTGCAAAGGAGAGAAGCCAAGAGTCAGGCCCTGAACCCACCTTGGGGTGAAGCCCAGGGGCACTGTGGCCTCAGAGTTCAGGTGCTGGCAGGAGGGAGGTGGACATGGTGGGGACTCTGTTCCTTTTATAGGCTCACCATGATCTGAGCTGAGCTGTGGCTAAAAGAGCTTTACCTCCCTTCTGTCATCTTCCAACTCTCCTCGGGATTTACTTAATCTTTTCCGCTTTCGAATCTCTGTGTTCCTCTAGGATGCTTCTCACTTTTCTTCCAGTCGTTTCTTCCTGCCTCATACTTTACCTTAGCAGGAGCTGTCCTGGCTCTTTGTTAGTCTGTTTCGGGCATCCCTTGGCCCTGCCATTCATGCTCATACTTATATTTCAAACAGTGTCACATCTAGAGCAGGTGGAAATGCACCTGCGACAGATTAAACCTAGGCAGTCCGTGGAAGGACACAGCCAAGGCCACTGTGGTAGTCTGTTCTCTGTTACTTCATAACTGGATATCTGCAACCGGGTGATTTATAATGACCGAGTTTTATTTAGTTCACGGCTTTGGAGACCCAGGGTCTGAGGGCCACATCTGGTGAGGGCTTTCTTGCTGGTTCAGGGCTCCTGCAGAGTCCTGAGGGGCAGGACACCACATGGCATCACATGACAAGAGGGCAAGACCTTATGAGTTTGTGTCCGTCTCCTTATGAACCCACAAGTATCCCATCATGCCTCCTGTGTCCTCGTGTAATCCCAGTCAGCTCCCGAGGGCCCCACCTTCAACACCACAATCAGATTACGTTTTTACCCTTTTAATCTCTTCACAGTAGGAACCAAATCTCAACCCATGAGCATGCGGGGACACCTTCCAACCTTAGCAGCCACTTCACATATGTATAAATTACAGACTTCATAAGCTCTCTAAGATGTAGGTTTAATCACAAACTACAGTGGGTTGTTTATTGAGAATTTTACAACATAGATTGTTTTTTATTTCCATAAATAAGGGCCAACTTCTCTCTTTTTCTACTATTTTTTATGTAGTTTTTAAAAATTTTTTATTTGCTACAGGGTGTGTACTCTCACCAAAGAGAGAAAGTGAGAAAGCATCCCCCAGGGGAATGGCCATGCAGCCCCGCAATCCCATCTCCTCCATTTTCCTCTCAGGATTTTGGGCACTCACATGCACCTGGTGTGTTTTTTAAGCTGCCAGGTCCAGTACTCGAACCACTTTGTCGGGCATATGGGATCCAGCTGCCTTAACCACCATGTCACTAACCACCTACCATTTTTTTATGTGACCACTAAGGGAACATGAATAAGTTTTTATATTAGGCCCCTAAAAACATAATTAGAAAGGCAAGTCAGCTCCAGAAATACTAGGCATCTATTTAAAAAATTTTCTACCTTTCTCTTCTTCTTACCTTCTCTCCACTGTTACAAATTAACCAAACTATCCCCCTTTTTCTTTAAACTGAGGAGGAATAATTGAGGAATACCCCAAGTACAATAATTAAATTTAAGGTGTCTTAGGATTTAAAGACCTTACCAAACTAATTCAGCTGTGTTTAAAGGTTGACTCTTAAGTTGTTCCTTGATTCTAGCAGAAAACAGACTCCATCCATTGTGTCCTGCCCAGTGAGGACGGTGTCCCCCCAGTGTTGGCTTTCATGTGTGACCTCTCAGTAACAGAATGTCACTTGGGTCTATTTCAGAGTTCCCTAAAAAGAAGAGGCAGTCGGGAGATATACAAAGAGAAGAAAACCTTGAACCAGGTAAGCAGAGATTTTTATTCTAATGTTACACCCCTCAAGAGGAAGTTACCTCATTTTGAATGTCCTCAAAAAAGTGTTAGCTTTGCCTTTAAAACATTCTAAGAAACATCACCTGCCCAAACATTTGGACTCATTCAAACCCTCCATGGGGTGCACACTCAGTCTCCAAGCCCACAGCTCCTCCCTTTGGATTCCCACGCACTCTGATACGCTGGCGATATCTCCAGGAGGGACAAGAACAAACTGGCTTTGTGCAGAATGTCCTGAGGTGCAGTCTGAGGTCTGGCTGTCCTCACAGCTAGTAGAAAGTGCTTTGGTTTCACAGTCGTGCACACAGTAAAAGAATACTGTGGCTGCAGGGTGGGGTCATTCCTACACCATCGTTTTCAGTGACGTTGTTTTTTTAAATGAGTAAACTGAACAGCTGTCTTCACAGAAAGTGAAAGCTTGGCCAATAGACGGTAAAAGCTCAGCCCTTTTTATGTACACATAGAACTGTGTTCTTTAGAACCTCCTTAACTTTCATGAAAAGTTGTTTCACTGAATTTCTTTCTTTTTATTTTATTTTTTTAAACTGCTGCTAGTATTAGGTATTGGAGAGAACAAAGATGTTATTGAGTTATCGGCTCACTGAGCCCTGAGAGCAAATAGCGATTACAGAGACAGAGTAAGTGAGGGTAACCAAGACGGCTCAAAGGACTCCGGGCAGCTCCGATCCTGTGATCTCCCTCATAATGAGTTCTCCTGGCGTTTCCATCTTCCAAACTCACTGAGCTCCAGGGTGTCATGCAGAGAGGGCCAGGCCCCTGTGAACAGCAAGAATACCAAAGAGCAACTTTCTTTTTACCTCTCTAACCCTCCCACCTGCAAATTTCCCTGTGGAATACACTAAGAGGAAAACTAAACTCTGTCATCCTGCCACTGGGCACTTACACTCTCCTGGGCTTAGAGCATGTTCCCATCTTACGAGTCTTGCCCAGTGAATACTGTTTCCTTAAAAGGGAATTACTGCCCCATGATGAGATGGACAGCAAGGAATTGCATTCGCCTGTGAGTAAAACAGGCCGTGGACTATGTTAAGCAAACCTGGTCCCTGAGAACATATTGAGTTGTCCTCTCAGCCTTATTGAGAAAGGAGTTTCTGTTCAGCAGAATGGTGGAGTGGAGCACCTTGGGAACTGCAGGTCCGCAGCCAAAACTCAAAGGAAGCTGGCACCCCGGCGCAAGGTAGGCATGTGGGCAGTCAGCCACGCGGGGTGCTGGCTAGACGGCAGGCTTGCAAGCCAAAGAACATATACAGGAGCAGTATATTTCTGTTGCTTGACAAGGCCTTTCCAGCTGCTGGTGGTGGTGGTGGGCCTGTATGCATCTCCCCCTGCCGTGCTTGCCCGATCTGCCCACAGCAGGACT